GTCAGGATGCGTGACCTCGTCACTCGTACCGGGCGTCATGGGCAATGTCGCCCGAATGTCACGATTTTTGGCCGAGAAGAGCACGTGTTCTATCCTCGGGAGCCATAGCGCGGTAGAGCAGTTGTTTTCTGACAGCCTCGACTGTGCCGATGTGCAGGGTCCTTGTACTCAGGGGCCAGGCCGCCGAGCAAAAGGTCCTCTTTCGGGAAGTACTCGTACGCCGAGTCCTGGGCTGCCACCCATGCTGTACTGTTCGTAACCGTAACCACTGGGCACAATACCCTGTTCTATACAGTCCCAGCTGGCGAACTTGCCGTCAGCGGCGATAGGCGCCTGCGATCGCTCGTCTCCGGTGGTCGAGCCCGGGTAGGATGGCAAGTCGTCGGGCGTCAAGAAGTTCTTTTCCTTCTGGTTGGGATCGAGTTCTGCCTGGACATCGCCAGCTGGATCCACTCGGAGGGCACGGCGAGCGACAGCTGGGTCCTCAGGGGCGTTGGGCGTTCCGCCAGCAGGCTTCGACCATTTGGAAGCCGGTACGTCGCCCACTGCAAGCTCTTCGTGAGCAGCTGTTTGGCTCCCTGCGGCAGATTCTTTCTCAGCAGGCGGGGCGTCATCCGCAGGCTTGATCGCGGCCGGGGCGACGACCTTGGGCAGAGCGGACCCATCATCATCCTCTGGCTCCGCCGCAGGGTCAGTGGCAGTGATGCTGTCCTGTCCCGGGACGTAACCTTGGGGTTGATGCAGCTTGGCAGCCTCCTCCTTGGCTCTCATTTCGGCCTTCTCCTCGGCAAGTGCGTTGCGCGCGGCCGTAGCCGTCTTGTTGCAGCCCGATATGTCCAGGTTTTCGGGGAAGATGCCAGGGATGGATGTGCCACGCTCTTTGAGGTCCCTCAGAGCATTGGTCACGCGCGCAATGGCATCGTAATACTTGTTGTTCCCCGTCACGCTGCGCCAGACCCGTGAACTCCATCGACATGGACGCAATCTCAGCAATGCTGCCTGAGCCAGCGCGATGAGGCTGCGAGGCAAAGTCAGGCATCCAATTGTAGTACAGGATTGGCATGCGGTTGGGCGTGTCGAAGACGCCCATGAGGATCTCGGCGAGCTCTGTCGCCTTGTTGAGCAAGACAGGGTAGTCGCCATCGTGACCGCCGCTCACGTCGTACGCGGCCAGCAGACCACCGAGGTAGCGAATAATGGTCTCAAACACGGGTATGTCACGGCGCTTGTCGCTGTAGGTAAAGTCAATATCGGCAACGGCCTCGGCGGCTTCTTTGAACTCGTCCTTCAGACCCATGATCCACAGCGTGTCGAGGGCGTCAACCAAGGTGGCAGCCCATCCGCAGAAGGGGTCGCGGAAGCGCTCGCTCACGGGCGACAGCTCGTCGTGAGTCCAGGCAAATTTGCGGTATCCATCCCAGGAGCGCTTGGCTTCGGCCTTGACAAGCGCGAGGCGTTTCTGGCGCGTTTCCTTGACGGCAGCCGCCTCGGTCTCGGGCGTGAAGACATGCTGGATCTTGGGGAACGGCTTGGGCTTGCCGGTGGGCAGAGGGATAATGGACTCGGTAGGCACGGGGAAGTGCTCGGTCTGCTTGTGCCAATGGATCTGTGTCTTGGCGGCATCGGTGGCATCGGTGACCTGAGGCTGACGGCTGGGAGGCTTCTGAATGCGAATGTCTTCAGGGTGGAGAACCTGGTCAGACTTCTCGGGCTTGCCAGTGTCGGGTTCAGGAAGAGCAGGGCCGGTCTTGGTCGTGTCCCTGAAGGGATCATCGCGAGGAGGGTCATCAGCAGGCGGCGAGGCGAGACCAACAGGCTTGGGGCCAGGCTCGGGGACAGCAGCAGCATCACCGGCGCCGGGGGTCAAGAGAGGGTTCGTGTCGGCATCAGGAATAACAGCAGGTTTCGAGTCGGCCTTCTGATCAGCGGCGGCGGCGGGCGGGATGGGGTTTTGCTCGTGCTCGTCCTCGAAGGGGTGCTCAACTGGGTGGCTGTGGCCGGCGGGGATGTTGGTCTTGGGAGACGTGGGCGCTCGCGCGGGGTCCCAGTCGGAGTTCTGGAAGACACGGTAGAGGAGGAAGACGATGGCGACGGCGACGAGGAGCACGACGCGACTTCGCCGGCGAACCATGGTGACGGAGATCTGGCGTGGCGGGGAGACGGACAGGCGAGGGAGAGCAGAGGCGAGGGAGAGCAGAGGCGAGGAGGGATCGTCACTGTGGGCGGACGGAGTCGAGAGCTCCGCTGGTCTCTGGGGTGCCAGAGACGGAGGTCGTGATGAGCGGCAGAATGACAAGGCGAGATCTACTGCGCAGTCATGCTGAGCTTGCAATGGACTCTTCAAACAATGAGAAGGATTGCGCGCAAGGAGAGTGAGATGCAAGAAGCGAAGAGCAGGAGGAAGATGCCAGATGCCAAAAGCCAAAAGCCAAAAAGCCAGAGCATCGGGCGCGGGCAAGGGCGACCGACGAGCGGGAAGGAATGGGGACGGCTTGATCGACCCTGCCCAGATGCGAAGTGGTCGATCAGACCCTGAGCCTGTGGCCTCCATCCCTGCCTGGACCGTGCTGGACCTTGACCCGGCCCCTAAAAAAGTCCAAGGGGAGAAGGTGGGGGAGCCGTTGATTACCGCAGTCGTTATTCCCAGGGGTTGAGACACCTGAGGAACAGCGACAATGGCCTGGCGAGCTTGGCCCAGTCCACCGTCACCGACGTGCCAAGATTGACTTTTCCTTCCGATCCGGCACACGAGGTCATGCCAAGCGCCTGGTATGTCTGTTTCTGCCCGTGTCTCTTCTCGTCTGTGGCTCCATGTTCCGTTTTACCCAATTGTCTGTGACGCTTTGCCTCCTACTGCTGCTATTGGATATAGAGGCCCTATTGGATATAGAGGCCAATTTAGAAAGTTCAATTTGTGTTGCACTGCGTCAAAGACAGTCCATTGACCACCCTACCTAGACAGGTAAGGCGATCTTAAGGTTGGTAAGGTAGCTAACGCGAGGTAAGGTTATCAGGCGTACACGGTTGAGCGATGCGACCGACCTAGGTACCCACAAGTGCCTAGGCTCCGAGAGAGGCCACTAGCCTCCCGATGTAGTTTAGTCTGTGAATTTCATCTGTTATTACCTACTAGGTAGGTAGCCACCTCAGCAGATGCCCCTGCTTGCCTGCCTCAGCTTCTCCGCCGCGCTGCGCAAAATCCTGGGCCGCCAGTGCTTCCTGCCCCATTTCATCTGCACATACCACGCCACTGCCTACCTACCTAGGTAAGTGAAGTAGCCAGGTACTACGCACTAAGGGACTGAACATGTACCTTCCTAGGCATGTGCCTCGCCGGTGCATCTCGTGACCAATCTGCCTCTTGTCCACCCTGAGGAATACACAACACTCCAGGCACAGCCGCAAGAAGATGGATCGCATTCTCGCAAAGGTCATGAAATCATCAACAGCCCGCCCCCCTCCCGAATGAGAACAACACGCCTGCCGGGCGCTTCTCTCCTGAGAGACCACCATTCTTCTTCTCTTCCTCCATATCCCGCCGAGACACCATACCTGGGCGAGACAAAACAAGAAGCGGAACCCGGAAATCCCAACGCCCAAAGCTCCCTCCCCGCCGCCCTGACCCCGACCCGCTAACCGAGCTACATGTAGACCATCCCAGCTCTCCGACACGGACTCCCCCCTTTCTGGCTCCTCCCCCTTTTTTCCGTCTTTGCGGGGTAAGCGGACGCTGACTGAACTGGAGCGTACTGGAGGTCACACGGCCCGCCAACTACGCCCTGCGCGGCCCTACGACAGCGGGCTGTCACCATCGATCCGGCACTTCTCGTGTGACAACGCGGCACGTCCCCTTGCTCAGATGCAATGACATTGAAAACTTAAACGTCGCTTGCTAATACAATGGTGTGAACCTTCATCGAGAATCGCCAGACATCACCATATATTCATGCGAATGCATCATGAGGTAGAGGATCGGATCGATCATGTCATATATCCTACAATCGGACACCATATCAACCACGGTGGGATGACCTCTATCATGTACATCCATCCTTGACAAGCAGACAGCCCATATCCCAGCAACCATTGGTAACAGCTCATCGCCTCTAAACGCCGCGCTGAGTCCCTCAGTCGCACCCAAATCCTGGCACCAGACCCGCTCGCAGCCCCAGCACCATCTCAAAACTCCTTGCCCCGAATCTTCGCGTACAGCTCCGTGTCGAAAAAGTTGTATCCTGGATCCAGCTCGCAGAAGGGATGCTGCGAGAGCAGCACATCTGCCGTAGGCCTCTCGTGGGGGTTCCTGGCCACATTGTCAGCACATGGTTCGAGGTGACCAAAAAAGGCAAAACTCACACAGTAAAGCAGTCCAGCATGAACGCAATGGCCAGCGGGCTGATCGTCTCCCTGACCTCGTCCGGGATGGGCGGCGTCTCGCCGTTGGCGATCTTGTAAATGGCGCCTACGGCTTCCTCCTTGCTCCATGGCCTGCGACCGGCAAACATTTCGAGCACTACACAGCCTAGACTCCAAATGTCTACCTTGGCCGAGTATCCCGTTCCCTCGGAACGGATCACCTCAGGCGCCATCCAGAAAACTGACCCCTGCATGTTGTTGCTCTTGTCGTTACCGTAGATGTTGTCCGTCTTCATTAGAAATGCCAAAATCCGAAATCTTGCACGTGCCATCAAGGTCGAGAAG